GTATATATCGGTAGAGTCAGCAGGTAAATCTTTGATATTATTTTTAATTCTTCGAGTGTCTTGTGTTACCAGATTTGTGTTGATAAAAATAACACCTCTGGAATTGCTGTGCTTATGCCAACCCATAACATCATACGTTGCTTCGACCGATCCAACAATTCTGGTAGAGTAGTGTTCGTTTTCTGACACATAAGATGATTTTTTATAGAAACCCGACTCTTTTTGCTGTACATTCTTTAATAAAATTTTTGCTTCATAGTCGTCCTTTGCCAAATATTTAGCCAAGTACCTTACGGCTTGTGGTCCTGCATTATATTGAATATCCATGCTTGTTCGAAATACTGCCAACAGATACGGGTTGTAGTTGTTTACCATTCCATCAACAACGTCTCTCTTATACATACAATGCCCTTCTTGATCATACTCAGTTTCGGGAACAAAAGGTTTGGGAAAACCAAAACGACATTTTCTTTTGGGATCACCACGCTTACAGTACTATTAATTGAAATTTAGTATGGTATAGGCTAAATGTTTCATAAAAATCTTACTTGGTATTGCATTTATGAATTTGTAATCGATTGACTAATTCGTGCATTAAAGGATCATTGAAGGAGGTACCGATGGGAAGCATGTATGTACGACATTTAATTTGATGAGCTCTTCTACAGGTTTTTCGGTCCATAATACGCAATGAATATGCGGACTACCTCGATCTTGGATTTCCATCACCCAGCTATATTCCTTGATACCACCAATTTGACTAGCAAAATTCTTCAAGACATACTGCTGAAAAAACTTGAGCCATTTTCTTTTGAAATGAAGAGAAAAAAGAATAGGATCTTCCCATGGAGCATTAGCGTTACCCAACCCTTGAAAATCTTTACTCTTGTCGTCACATGTGATAGTAAAAAAAAGTTGTGGAGCACCAAGATTCTCAAATATGCATTGTAAATCCAAAAAGTTTTTTCTTTTGTATGCATAAGAAGACCTTATCTGTGGAGGCACTGTGGATACAATGTTTTTGTTCAGCAGTTTGGTCGAGCTATTGACAATGTCGTGTTGCTTTAAATTTCCACGTCCCTTGGTAGATACAACAAATCGATTGGCTGAAGCAATATTTTTCTTTTCGATGGTATCCAACATGAAAAAAAGAAATGAAGGGTCAGTGGCAAATCTTCGGTCCTTCATGATCAGTCTTGATTTGGTAAAACTTGCAACATTTTCACCATTTAAAGTAGCCGTAGCAACACCCACGATTGCTGGGAGACAATAAATGCCTTCACGCATTTCAAACTCAACAACCTTTGTAGTGTTATGGGGTAGTGCTGGCGGATATAGAAAATACAAGGATCACAATGGGGAGCAATGTTTGTGACGGCTATTGTGATCCTATAGTCATATGTGTGGTTGCTGCTGTGTAAGCATGTGAGTGATACACAGTACTACCCGATCCCATTATAAATTCGTAAAATCATAATCACTAATAAAATTAAGTCCTTTAACCCTAATCGTATCCGAAAGTATAATAGCTGCTCACGCGTTAGAAGTAGTTTATTATAGTCAAGAAGAAGTCGAATAGAAGAGTTTATTAAGTCACTAGGTAATTAAGATCCCTATACAACAGTAGGAACCATGGAATAGTGACCCGTGCAAGTTGGAAATAAATGGGGAAACAGCAAAGCAATTAAACTCGGATGAGAATATTTGACGCTTTTACCTACATTATCTTCACCGATAATTAAATCTTTAAATTCCACATCAGTTGCTTGTGGATTGGTGTCATCTTTAGCGAATAATGCATTGTTCTTCCATCCTTCGGCGGCCCCAACATATTGCTTGTTTTCGGATATATGATAATTGACCAAAGCATACGTTAACTTAGGCAACTGGTATCGAGCGATCAAGGGGTTGACTTTTTTCAGGGCCTCATACGCAGCTGTAACTTTTATTTTGTTAATCATAGCGGGATCACCACGTTGGTAAATAAACTGAGTGTTCCACCATATGCCAGCTCAGCAAATTCGTAATTGTGTGTGTTGAACATAGCACCCTTCAGTTCATAATGTCCGATACGTCCATTATACAGTGTAGCCCTTCTGGTAATTTGCGACATTAATTTCAAAGGCGAGAGAGCAGACTTTTCACGGTAATTCAGATTAACGGTCTCATTGAGTGTATCTCCTATGTAATTGAATAAATTAAAATATGTTACTAATATTAAATAGACTACAACAAACCTGGATACACTGGTCTTGGGAAACTCTCTTCTTCTGTCTTCAAGTGGACCGCACAAACCATATATTTGGAACTGTCGGTTGGACTGACCATGGGTTCCAGCTTCCATGAGACACAGGGCAAATGTTCAGGGTTTCTGATATGACGGTACTTGCGATCTTCAGGATACAAAACTTTCATACACGCACAACAAAATCCATCGGGTTTCTGATTGATGAACTTTTGAAATTCAGTAATTTGTTTCTTTTGGACATTTGAAAAAGTGGAGAGGCTTCTATTTCCAACTCTAAATGAGAAAAACATGATAAATGATAAAAATGTTTTTGTGGTTTTTTTTTTCAATCAATATTATACTTTAAAAAAGTGTTTGTACACCATATCCTTTCTATCACCCAAATAAATTTTATGTAATGCTGGTGCAACGTTTTTTTTTTTAAAAAAAAGATAAGACATGTGGTTTATTAAAATACAAAAAAAAAAAAAAAAAAAAGGAAAATCCGGGATTAGGTTTCCATGGCTGCGGTACTTGTTTTGATGAAAATGTTTGGCGAGAAAGGTAACTTTTCATTCATAAGGTTCTCTAAGCTCAAGCAAGGAGCGTCCCAAATGGTTTTTCTCACATTGGTGTTGTAAGAGTAAACCGTACTCATGGTACGGGGAACAGGCCTACCAGTAGCATTCGTTCTTGGACGACTGATCGCCTCGTTGATCGAAACTGGGTTGCAGTTTTGAGGGATAATACCCCTTTCGACTAAAGTATAAAATATTAAAACACGATCACGTATATTATAATTTAAAAACGTACCCAAATGCTCATGCATGTCATGGAATGACACAGCAAACGCCTCCACATTTCTCTCTGCTGTCTTGTCGGACTTACCAACAACAATTGTAGGGTCATTGATGTTCTCCCAGACATAACGATATACCGCATACGTGAGCTTTGCGGGCTTGTCGGAAAAATCAGAAATTTTCATTTTCTTGGCTTTTATGGGAAGAATATTTCCTTCATCATCAACCATCGGCAATGGTTTTACGTTATTTATATTAAGGCGGACATTGCTGAAGGCCCTGTTTGAATCATCAAACGTGAAAGCTGAAATATTGAGCGATCCTAAAAATGAAACAAAGCATTTAAGTACATCATCATAGAACATTTAATTCTTAACTTACCAGTAAAGTAATGCTTGCTGTTTACATCACAATAGCGAATAAAATAAAACATCAAAGCAGGGTGAGAAACAAAGAGTTTAACTTTGACTCCTGAGTCAGCGCATTTAGACTCTAAAGTAACGTTCCGAGCAGTTACTCTGAACTGAGGGGCGGCGGTAACATAGGCATCGGTTAATTCTCCAACGAACATTTTATAATATTATTTTTTAAAAAGATAATAATGCCTAAATATTGCGAAAGTAGGATATTTATACGTCTTCAATTTTGAAGTAACATATGTGTTTGATAATTAGTTGTCGAAAATCGCAATTCACACGATGATTAAGAATTCTAAATTAAGAATCGCTATCGTCAACGGGAACCGTAATGTTATACATGTGCACACGCAGCACGATGTATACAAGCTTTTCTATATCATAGATGACTATCAAACAATAATGCTTACATTTTTAGAAGTTTTATGTGACAATGATGGTCGTAATTCTGAATTATGATGGTACTACAGCATTCATTGGCCAATAATGCTTTTATCTGTTTTGTACCACAACAAAATGGTTTGCATGATTTTCCCATTGCTACAAACTATTGATGACAAATATTGATTTATTGATTTCATTGCCACACGTTAAAGTCTGTACACTTGCACTACATACTACAGGGTGGATTAAAAACAGTATTCAGGTCGTATAACATTTGATAAAAGGATGAATAATTGGTGCTAAGTCAGGTATAAAAAAAAATTAAGTACAAGTCAAACCAAAACAAAATCTTGACAACTTTGACAACCTTGGCAGCTTCAAGAATGATACTGTATACATAAGACACAAAAAAATCGTATCATGGGTTGCTATCAAAGCTAATCTATAAAATGTTGTACCGTGCCACAACCCTTTTAAAAAGTATTTTACGTAACATATGATGGCCAGTCTTTAGTGTATATAAATTAATCAATAATTGCAACAATTGTAACGACCCAATTGATATAATTTGAAATACAATGAAAACAGATCTCTATTAAGCACAGGCCTGAAATATTTATAAAAATACTTTTAAAAAACAAAAAACTTGCACATGTTTTACAAAGAACCATAGTGTACAAAATATAGCATCTGTGTCACAATGCTCTAAAACATTTTTACAGATAAGAAAAGACATTGGTTAATCTCCTATATGCAAATTTAAAAAAGAATTTCGATTGCTCTTATTCCATTTACTATATGCGTTGTCTATGCTTTAAAAAGATCTCAATCCAGATGAGTAATCTGTTTGATTAAAACTTAAAATTATGACTATATAAAAAATTGAGTATGTGGGACAGATAACAAAAACTTATTTTCTGATGTTGTGCTATCACGTTGACAAGCTTATCATGAGTTGTTATGTACAATGTTGAACAGGCGGAAAAGTTGTACTCTGTGGTTTATTATTTGTAATAGTTTATCAAAATAGTCATTGTGTGATGGAAATTAAAAGCGCATAAATTGATTAGCTGCCACCAACTTTCATTGGCTTAACAGCTACTTCGAATTAAACATGCAATCGATTGTTTCCACATTTGTGGGAATGGTTTTCCCTCATACTTTAGAAGTAGATAACGATAGTAATAAAGTATATTTTTTATTATATGAATCATTTTCAGCGTAAGTGACCATGTATGACAACGTTGATATAAAATCAAATACCTTAAAACTCTTCATATTTCTTAATAGACGTTATAGTGTAAAACTTATTTCCGATAAAGACATTTTGCTAAAAGCTTTCCAAGATTATGATTTAACATGGAAGATTGACAATATGAAAAACAAAAAAGACCAATTATGATGATAGCAACTGGGGTGATGGAACAAAAAACAGCGTTGAATGCATTCTTAGGAAGGGTAGTCGAAGAAAAATTCCACATGAAGCCCCTCTCAATGTCCGTAATCCCATGTGTACCACTTATATCCAACAAATTAAAATATATGGTGCATCCTGAAGTCGGTCCAACGCAGCTCTCTGAGGGTGTGAAAGAGGGATATTTCCATGTAAACTTGTCTGCCACTCAAGATTTTGAAATCGGCCCCGATTTTTTCGAATCAACCTTTGGTGTGAATGATGATTTGGGTATATGAAATCCTTGTAATATTTTGCATTATTCTAACCTAATCCAAACTCTAAATATCTAGAATCCTTAAATAATAATATGCATGATCGTGATCAACCCACCGTACGTCCAGACGATGAAGAAATTCAAAATCCGCAAGAAAACAATTCCACTACTACTTCAAATGTACACAACGACGTGGATGAGGATGATTCAAGCGATGAAGAGCTTGAAGGGGATCAAGCTGCGCGAGAGTACTTTCGTTCCGGAAGAAGATTCTCTAATTCCAGCAGCGATGATGACTTCGAAATGGAGTCATCTAAAAAAGACGCGATGCCGGTATTGCTCGATAGCGACGGTGAGGTCGTTGATGAAGAAATAGATCGTATGCAGGAATATGTGGATGAGGTAGAGCAAGAGCTTCTAAAAAGACCAGACGCAATGCAACAAAAAGGTGATTCCGCAAATGGAAGAAATGAAGAAAGGGTTGCAGAGAAGGAAAAAAATATTTCAGATTCAACTTCGCAAGTGGAAAACGAAAAAGCCACAGAATGTGGTACAAGTTCCAACCTTAAAAGCAATACCACCACAGCTGTAGAACAAGGTAAATATATCAAAAAACAATCTTTAAACATGATGATAATTAGGACGAGTTATAATAAATACTGTTACTGGCAAGTTTCAGTAAAAGTAATAGAAGAAAATAAAAATAGAGGTTTAAGATAAAAGTTCTTAAAAAGTGAGCACCAGACTATATAGTTGTCACCTGAAAAAGATAAAATATATTTATATAATAGGGTAATTTATACGACGAAATCAGATAAGAGTGGTATTCGAAGGAGTATAGTTAAATACGTAATGGAATAGCTACAATGCTGATTTTACAGAAGGAAATTACAAGCAATTATAATAAATACAAAATCACAAAGACTTAAAGTATTAAGACTTATTCCGATTAAGGTAAAGAACAAACTAATGATTTTATTAAATAATTTTATGGTCCTTTTATAAGAAAAGGACCAAAAAGCAGTCAAAAAAATTAGAAAATCTTAGGTCAAAAACGACAAAAAGTGCCGTGTAACAATACTTAACTGCATTCAATTTTAATTTCGATTTGTAGAATACAGAACCAAAGACAAAATTCAACCTTCAATTCGAAAAAGAAGAATTATCAAGCCAGAAACCGATATCAATGAGGATAGTTCAAACACTTTGGATACACAAATAACGCCACCAACCAATACTATTCGAAAGGAAAAATGCCTGATCGACAAAATGTAGAACCTTTTCGTTTAAATATCAACCATCTTTTGACCCTTTCTTCGGCAAACATTGCGCCAACAACATCAGCGAGAAAAGATAATTTGCAAGCGCCTTTTCACCCTTTTTTTAGAAAACGTAATGCTTCCATGTCTTCAAGCACATCTGATATTCCAGACAACTCTGCAAGTACACACGCATCATCTGACACAGCTACCAGTATTGATAACCGTAATACCTAATTTTCTATAAAACAAGAATATTACGACTTACAAATTATTTTTACCTTAGGTCCAAGAAGCAAAAAAAGAATGAATGTTCCTATTGATAGTGGAAATCACCTGCATACAATAGTAGGATAAAGGAATTAATCATATCTGAATTAAGTAAATCTCATTTATATAATTTAATAGGGTAAAAAACCTAAACTGGACTCGCCTTCAAGATCATCCAATGAGTCTGACACTGACACGCAGCAACAAGAAAAACGAAAACCTGGTAGACCAAAAAAAAGGGAGAACCATCTAAAAAACGGAGAACCATCTAAAAAAGGGATCGCTGATCAGCCACCAGATATCATAAAAAAGGCAAGAGGAAGACCGAAAAAGGATTCAGACAAGGAACCATCAAAAAGTAAATAAAACGTGATTCTCTGATATTAAAACCGGCTACTTTACGTTTGCCACGCAAAAATTTAAAATGAAATATTATTAGTTCTAAATATGACGCCACAACACCTTTTTTTTTTATTTGATCATAAAATACGTATGCTTTTTGATAAAACTTCCAGCCTCATGCGACATCCCCAGTTTTCTTTATTCACTTAAACATACTCGTCTCAGGCCAATTTTTTTCTATTAAACAGTGTGTATTCAAAAGGGGGTTTTTTTTTATTCACTTGACAGTGGGTCCACTTACAGTGTGTATCCAAGGGGAATGTTTTTTTAATTCACTTGACAGTTGGTCCACTTACAGTGTCTATCCAAGCGGGTTTTTTTTTAATTCACTTGACAGTGGGTCCACTTAGTTACAGTGTGTATCCAAAGCGAATTTTTTTTTTAATTCACTTGACAGTGGGTCCACTTACAGTGTGTATCCAAGGGATTTTTTTTCAATTCACTTGACAGTGGGTCCACTTACAGTGTGTATCCAAAGCGATTTTTTTTTTAATTCACTTGACAGAGGGTCCACTTACAGTGTGTATCCAAAGGGATTTTTTTTTAATTCACTTGACAGTGGGTCCACTTACAGTGTGTATCCAAAGGGTATTTTTTTTTATTCACTTGACAGTGGGTCCACTTACAGTGTGTATCGAAAGGGATTTTTTTTTACATTCACTTGACAGTGGGTCCGCTTACAGTGTGTTTCTCAACGGGGTTTTGTTTACCCACTAAACAGTTGGTTCAATCTTTAAAAAATCATAGAGCCTCTGAATTTGCTTTTTTTCTCGCCGTTTTTTTATATATCATTGAGGATAGATGTTATTAATACATAAAAATTATCAAAATAGTTTTAAGAATTTTTTCCATTCATTTATTAATTTTTTTTGATTATTTTTTGAGAAATTTTGTTCATTTTTAGAGTTTGGGTCAATTTTTAAAAAATCATAGAGCCTTTGGATTTGCTTTTTTTTGCCATTTGTTTTGATATATCATCGAGGATACATGTTATTGATATATAAAAATTATCAGAATAGTTTTAGGAATTTTTTCCATTCAGTTATTAATTTATTTTGATTATTTTCGAGAACTTATGTTCATTTTTAAAGTTTGGGTCACAAAAATACATAAAAGGCTATTTTTTTGGCCCTATTTTTTTTAAAACTAATAATATGTTAAAATATCATTATAACATGGACATCGACAACTATAACAGTTTTGATAATTTGCAAGAGCAACTTTGGATGGTTTTATTTCAAGATATAGATGTGAACGAAGACCTGGATTTGGATTTGATTGATGAGGAAAGGAACGAAATCGAAGACGACTTAGATATGGAAGATGATATCTGGATTGAAGACATGATTATCCACGAAAATGAAGTTATCGATGATATATGATTTTGTGAGGAAAATAGTACCACAGGTGCGCCATTAATGTATGACTTGTGCTGTCTTTGGGCAAGAACATCTAACTTGATGATGTCAACGTTGATCAACTACGACATATTTTATTATATTTACAACTGTAGCCCCATCTTTATGAGCGGGGAACGGCCCCTCGAGTTGTAAGATCTGCCCGGATGGACACTTACGAGCAATATTGGACTGTAAAACATACCAATTTAAACGATGATCCTAAAAGTCGTAAAAGTTGTAGAGCACATTACCGAATCAACAAAAAAACTTTTCAATGGTTGGTCGCTCGTTTAAGCAACTCCTGTCATTATGCCGGATCAATTGTACAATGAGGATATAGTGTAGAAATTCAGGTTGCTTGTGTTTTGTGGATATTTTCGAATACACATTTTGGATGCCGCATCGCAGAGGTTAGTTTCGGTGTTTCAGCAGGATCATATAGAAATTTCACAGAAAGTTTTATTAATGCCATGGTAGATATGAGCAACGAAGTAATTTCTTGGCCAATCGGTAATTCTGCAAGAGCTCTGGAAAATTCTGAAGAGTTTTATGAACTGGGTGGACCCAATAACATGAGATTAAATGGAATTCTCGGATGTATTGACGGTAAGCTTGTCACCATCCAGAAGCCATCAGTAAATGGAAATGCCCATGTGGATCGTAAGAACAACGCATCGATGAATTTAACTGCTGTATGTGATGCAAGGTGCAGATTTATGTATGCAAAAACAGGGCATTCCGGTAAGTGTATGTCTTGAATAGACGTTCAGTGTATTTGTTTTTGCCTACAGCTTTAACCAATACATATAAAGGACGAAACCATAATGCCAGGGTTTTTACAAGCAGTGTTCTATACCCTAAAATGCTGACAGACGGTGCTCGATGGTGTCCTAAAAATACTTTCATTTTGGGAGGTGTGTATACGTTAGTCATATATAATACGTTTTCACTGATAAATGTCTCAATTGTAAAACCACTTTGTAGATTCAGCTTACCCTCTTCTCCCAAACTTGGCCACACCCTTTTCAACCAACGACAATTCTTTACAAGAATACAAGGATTTTAATGCTGTTCTTTATAGCTCAAGAATTAAAATTGAGCATGTATATGGAGCCTTGACACCTAGATGGAGATTTTTATGGAAACATCTCTACATGCTTGAAATCAAGCGAATAGCAAAAACAATTCTGGCCTGTTGTGTTTTGCGCAATGTGTGTATTCACCAATGTGACATCGAAGAATCTTTTGAAGCTGGTAATTTGGAATATGCGGGGTTTATCAGTGCAACGACAATACGTAGAAGAGATGATGTTGAAATATCTCTTTAAAATCCTACACCTCTCCCCAATAATGTAGTACCCGCTCATCCATCAGCTCCTAAATTACAACCTACGAGGATGACCACTGCTGCTTTACGTGATCTTAAAAAACTAACTATAGCTCACCGTAACACTCTTTTGGAATCGTTAAGGCAAGTCGAACAAGCCAATGTTTTGACGACATCCGATCAAGAAGAAGACGAAGCTGATTTTTTACATTCAGATGAAGATGCATGAATTTGTTTTATTTATGCACGTTGTTTTTTATTTAGGCTAATTATACGCGCACCATACTTTTTGCTTGAAAAAAAAATTTCGCGCACCATACTTTTCTGTGCCGGTCAAATAATAAATTCCGGGTCGGACCAAAAATAATTTTTGCACATAGAATTTTTTTTCTAGCGCTGGCGGACCATACTTTTTTTCGCTGGCGCACCATACTTTTTTTCGCTGGCGCACCATACTTTTTTTCGCTGGCGCACCATACTTTTTGGCTGGCGCACCACACTTTCTCGCGCACCACACTTTTTCGCGCACCACACTTTTTCGCGCACCATACTTTTTCTCGCGCACCACACTTTTTTTTCCTTCATTCTTTTTCTTTTAAACTTTTATTTTTGAAATGAATTCAAACGATTCACAACAATCTTTGAGCGAAAGCCAATTGTTAATTAACAGTCTTTTATCTGTAATCAACCCTGCCGACGAACCCAAAGACAGTTTCGAGGAGACCTTTGACAGACAAAACGCTGAGCAAGCTATTGCCGAGGAAACCACGACTGATGACTACGACTGGGAATGTCTTAGTGAGCCTGAGGAGGAAGACGTTAGTGTCGAA